CATCCAGACTTTCATTCCGTCTTGAACAAATATACGTAGTTGGAAGAGAAAACTCATATTTAGACGGGAACTTATTAAATAAAATTAAAAATTATAGAATTTTTGACGAATATTGAAATAATAATTTGTAAATATGAAGGATTTTTTTTTTATATAATATTTTTTCAACTTTCATTTCTTATAGGAATTTTTTTGTTGTTCTTTATGTTATATAAGGAGATTATTGGATTTTTTTAATGATGACAAATAAAATCAAAACAAAACAAAACTAATAGTAATAATATTATTTTCAACTTTCATTTCTTATAGGAATTTTTTTGTTGTTCTCTATGTTATACAAGGAGATTATTGGATTTTTTTAATGATGAAAAATGAAATAAAAACAAAACTAAACTAATAGTAAATACCACAAACAAAGATGAATTTATAAGAGGAAGGTACAAGTTTTTTATATGAAAGGAATAAATAATAATTTATTATTATTAATATTATTTTTTTAACTGAGCTTATTGATGACCGATATCTCTAGTAAGCTAAAGCAATCTAATATATATATATATCGTCACAAATAGATAAATATATATATATATATTACATAATATAAATAAATATATATATATGTATATATCGTCAAACAACGTTGCCCGTAGACTGTAGGCAAATAAGGGGGGGAGGATAAAAGACGAGGGGTTATGACAAACTATTTCGTCGTGGTTTCTCAACTCACAAGAATGGAGATATATATATATATATATATATATATGAGGCTATCATAGTGACCCGAGATCACTTGATCGGCTTCGCCAAAAAAAAAACAAAAATAAAAATAAAAACATTATTTTAAAACTTTATTTTGTATTCTAAATTTGATGCATAATTTTAATGTGACCCTGAGCCAAAAGTTGTTTAGTTTATTTTTTTGCATAACATATTTTTTTTGGTAATTTTTATAAATTTTTTTTTTTTTTTTTTTTGCTGGGACCTTCCCTGGTCCTTGCACGGGCTGGTGAATCGGGACTCGAGCAGCCCGGTTGGTAGCCTAATATATATGTATATATATATATATATGTATATACACGAACAAACGAGAGGTTTTGATAAATTCTTTTGATGAGGTTTTAAGTATATATATGCTCGTAAGAATAGTTTTTTTGCCCGAAATGTGAGGTGTGGTTTCTTATTTTTATTTGTAATCAATGCATTCGCAGTGCTCCTTGACCTTCCCTTCTTCAGTCACTCCCCTTTATTTATAAACAAACGAGAGGTTTTGACAAATTCTTTTTGTGAGGTTTTAAGTATATATATGCTCGTAAGAATAGTTTTTTTGCCCGAAATGTGAGATGTGGTTTCTTATTTTCATTTACAATCAATGCATTCGCAGTGCTCCTTGACCTTCCCTTCTTCAGTCACTCCCCTTTTCTCCTTTTTTTTTTTTTTTTTTAGCAGTACGAAAACATCGTAGTGAGTACGAAAGATATTGTATGAATACCGAAATTGCACATGGTTATTACAAATCATAAAATTCGTTTATGGCAAGGGAAGAAGGAAAAAAAAAAGAAGCAAGACGGTAGAATATGATGACGAAGGTGAGGAAGTGGAGAAGGAAGAAAATGAGGAAGAGGGTGAGGAAGACGATGTTTAATTTGCGGAAGGAGGATTTTTTTTTACGAGATCTGGGGGGTTTTAGAATAGCGGGAGTGAGAGTGGGGGGTGGTGAGGATAGGTTGTCGGGTGGTTGGGATGTAGGGAGGTTCGGATGCTAAGTGGTAGTGGGGTTGAGGCACTATGAGCAGCAAATTAACGAGAATCAATCCTTTGCGGGGAGAGTCAGAAGGAGAGATGTAGTCAGAAACTCTTCCTTACTTGCACTTCCTCGAAGACGAAACATTAGTCTGCTTCCTCGGTGCCATCCCGACTTGCAAGTGGTGGATCTAAGACGGTGAAGCCATGGGTGTCTTCCTTGGTCTTGATAACGAGTTTGTGACAGATCGACTGCTTAAGTTTTGATGGCTGCGTCGGGATAACCAGGTTTGGGAAATATTCGAAGTCAATGTTGCAAGCTGAGTTGACGATGATGTTGAACCATGACCCTAGTCCTGATACGATAAAATTGTGAATGAGAAGATAGAAAAAATCCTCCTCGATGAGCTGGCCGAAAAAGTCTCTGAAAAACGAAGCGATGGGCAAACGAATCCTGAAGTTAAGTCGAGAGCTGAAAGATTGTCAGCGATGGTAATCAAGTCATTATTGACCAAAAACTTGACAAGGGTTGTCCTTGCACAAGTGATGCAGAGAGTAAAACACTAAAAAAATATGCATAGATCATATGCATGTTCTTCTTTGTACATGGCTAAACTCACACCAACACGAATATGCTCTTTCGTTGTGAGAAAGGACAGACACCTCATTCCAACAGATATAGGAGAGGTGATATTGCGGGAGAAAAAGGAGTGAGACAAAAGAGCAACAACCTTTTCCCTCTCTAGGATGCAGAAAGTTTTGGCATCATTTTGAAAGATAACTTGAAAGAGCACTGCATCCTACACAAATTCGATTAGATTGATGATGACTAAGTTTATACAAAAAAACTCAGTTCCATATACTTTGGTTGCTTGCTGGAGAAAGAAGTGAGCGTGATTAGAGGGAGGAGGTAGAAATGGAGAGGTAAGGGAGTTGTTGTTTCGGGGTCGAGAACGAAGATTTTCTGTAGAGATTCGTTTGCTGAGACCGGAGGTGAGAAGAGAGCAAAACAGTAAAAAGGTATGCATAGATCATGTGCATATTCTTCTTTGTGGTCAAACTTACACCGACACGAATATGCTTTTTCGGCGTGAGAAAGGACAGACACCTCGTTCCAACAGATATAAGAGAGGTGATTATGCGGGAGAAAATGAGTGGGATAGAAGAGCAACGACCTTTTCCCACTTTAGGATCTATAAAGTTTTGGCGTCATTCTGAAAGACAAAGAGCGCTGCATTCTACATAAAATCGATTAAATTGGTAGTTAAAGTCGTACCTCAGTTCCACATACTTTGCTTGCTTGCTGGAAAAAGAAGTGGGGGTGATTAGAGGGAGGAGGTGAAGATGGAGAGGTAAGAAAGTTGTTGTGTTGGGGTAGAGAACAAAGATTCTCTGCAGAGATTCGTTTGTTGAAACCGGAGATGGGGAGGGATTTGGAAGGAGGGGTGTGAGTCGGAAGGTGAATTTGATGATAAGCTCACTGTCTGATATGACTTCGTTTGATTGGGGGGGAAGGTTGGAAGGGTAGAAAGAGAGGAGAAAGAGGTCAAAGAGAGGAGGTTTAGGTTTTTGATGGGTGTCGAAGCATGGAGACGGTATGTTTGGACTTAGAGTTCGGTGGCGACGAACGTGGATAGGGTGGGGAGGGGGAGACGGAGGTCGGTCGCCGTGAAGACAGGCTGATGGGTTCATGACGGAAAGACCTTACCGCACGACTGACTTGACATGACCAGTAGAGGAGTTATGACGGAAAGGGGGGACGACCACCAACAGAGGGCTTGCGACCAAAGGGTGATGACCTAAACTGACGCAGAGGTTCCCGTAGGCTAGTCCATAGTGTAGCCCCCAGCCAAAACCAGGTGAGTAGAATGACTCGGCCTCAATGCGACTTGACTGGTTGTGTGCGCGCAGGTTCGTGTACGTGATGAGCGTGGCGAGCGAACGTGCCGTGGATGACACGACACGTGAGACATCACAGACAGTATTGGTCGGTCAGACCCCTGTGACTTATACTGTCGCCAGGCAAGGCAGTGGGACTGCGAGGAGTGGCAAGGCAGTCCTGCAGCCTGGGTGAGTGTCACATCACTTTGTTCCTCAGCCGTTGATGCTGGAAAGGATACTAGTAATTGTGGATTGTTGGCATCAAGTAGAATGTAGAGAGGTCGAATGACGTCTGTCCGTTGTGAAATCTGTGGTTGATGACGAGTGAAAAAATGGTCCTAAGGGTCCCAAATGTGGTTCCGGTAGTTGTGTGAAATCCAGCCGAAGTAGTTTGCTGTGGTCAATTGAGGCCGTCGGGCCAGGGTGTAACCAGAATGCTTGAAACAGACACAATGCAGTAAGGCTAATCCCGGTGCCAGTGGGACCGTGACCCTGGTAGTCCGAGCCCTGGCACGGGTCGGCATACCGTTCGGCCAAGGCTCGGACTCGGACTGGATAACTGCGCCAACTTCCGCCGCCAAGTACTGATGGTTTAAAAATTAACAAAAAGGAGGTTGGGCTGGTCTCAAGGCCTGATGGTCGATCGTTATGCTCAAGAAGGTCAGTGCAGGAGAGGATCCTTACCTTCAGATGGAATATTGGACGGTTTCGAAGTAGCAGACCGGCTTCAGATGGGGGCGTTCGGTAACCAATGAAGTGCAAGTTTTCAAATTGAATTCTTTAGTGTGCGTATGTATATATATATTCTGTAATATAGATATAGACACAGTGTTTCCTATTTTCTTCCAATCCCGCGCTTCATGTGTCCCGCGCTTCATGTGTCCCGCGCTTTGCGCGTCGTCTCAGCGCAGCAAAAAGAGGCAGAAACCGTCGATCGGTCTCAATCTACGGCCGAGCACGATCTCTTTTATCACTTGTGGTCATGATAGTGCTACACCGCCCTATTCCTGCGCGACGGGCTACTACTCGGTCGCATTTCGAGCCAGTTTCGGAGGGTGAGGTTGTGGCCGGACAAATTTGAAATTTGGACGGACGTCCATTGGCTGGGTTTGGTCCTTGACGGTCGGCTATTGACAGACCGGTCGCGCGGGGCAATCGGATCGATCTTTCATTCCTGAACTGGAAGTATAGATGCTGTCTGCCATCTTGGAATTGTCCATTTATAGGTACTCCGGCGCGTTTAGTCGTAGACGGCGACCGGTTGTCCAATGTCCGCCCTCTCTGTCCTGGAGGATGTTGTTGGGTTCCAGTATATAGCGGTCGGGCGCAGTAGGAATTTCACGGGGTCCGTTTTGACGTTTTCGGTCGGTTCGCACTGGTGTCCCAAGTGTGAGCTGATCTGTTTCTCCCGCGCAGTTGAGGCAGGGAAGGGTGGTTTGCAGCGCTGGAAGCTTTTATCATCGGGCTGTCTGGTCCATTTGTGTACGTAGCACCCGCCCGCCCCTGTCAGCTGGATCAGCTGGCGTCGACCGCCATCGTTCTCCTTCCCCTGTCGTCTGCCATAACCAGTTAGCGCCACAGCGACGTTGTTGTTGTGGCGTTTGATCTCCCTTGTTTCGAGTTTTGTGCGCACACCGGTCGGGGGGATACAGGCGTCACTTTGCCCCTTCGGTTTCTCCTGTGCTTGCGGTCTTGATTGCGGAAGATCGTTGCAGTAATTCAAGATGCGTGAGATTCTCCATATCCAGGGGGGGCAGTGCGGTAACCAGATCGGCGCGAAGTTTTGGGAAGTCGTATGCGATGAGCATGGCATCGACCCTACAGGAACTTATCATGGCGATTCTGACTTACAGCTCGAGCGTATTAATGTCTATTATAATGAAGCGAGTGGTGGGCGGTATGTTCCTCGCGCTGTCCTGATGGATCTTGAACCTGGAACTATGGATAGCGTCAGGTCTGGGCCTTATGGCCAGATTTTCAGGCCAGATAACTTCGTCTTTGGCCAGACTGGGGCGGGAAACAACTGGGCGAAGGGTCATTACACAGAAGGTGCTGAGCTGATTGATTCGGTCCTGGACGTTGTGCGGAAGGAGGCAGAGAGCTGCGATTGCTTGCAAGGTTTGAAGCTCACCATGTTTGCCTAAGATTTGCGTTCTGGGAATTGTTTCATATTGTCGGTGGAATGTCGTGTTGGGAACGACTAGAGTACGTTTTCTTTGCAGCACGGTGGCGCTCGTGTTCTGTTCAGAAGTATGTTGGTGTATATGATCCAGAGATGAAAGCAGCGGTCGTCTGGTTTCCTGGATGATGCTATCTCGTGATGTTTGGGCTTTCTGCAATACAAGCTGTTTCGTAGTAGAGCGTCCTCTACGTATAAGTATGGAACGCGTTCGCATCTATTTGCCGTCGAATGTCACACTGCGTCATATTGAGATTCAAGCGTGAGAAGTCGAGTGCCATGTTTCTTGCCCTCGCCTATTGCATTGTGAAAAAAGGTTTTAATTGTATGTAGTCTGTCGTGTGCAGAGGAACTTCGTTTCTGAGTGTCTCGTAGCGTGGCGGTCGTCAGTGGCTTGCAGAGGTGTGTATGTTATACCTTGTTTATTTATGGTAGGCGTTCATGATGGGGTCCCTCCTCGTCCGTATCTATTTGCGGGACGTGGTTACGCTGAGGTTTTATTCACGGGTGTGTGGGTAAGCTTAGTTTCTTTTGAAGCACTATTGAGGTGCTTTTGTGTTATCTATCCTGCGTGCCTGGCATGTGTATAGCGGCGGTAGTGAATGTACATATGTTGTTGAAATCGATTCTTCTTCTATCTTTGCTGTTTCTCCTGCACGCGTGCAGTTAAAGAGCTGGATATATACGTGTCGAATTAGCTAGTAGATTAGTGTTCTTAAAAAATGGACTTACTCTGTCTACGCGGCCAGGGCGAAATTTGTCGTATCCATGCCTTTGACCTATTATGCGGAATGAGACGGTAAGACAGAGCGTGGTCGCAGCTGACGCCATTACGTATCTTGTGTTGTAACCCTAATCCTAGGAACTAGCTAGTGTTTGGTGTTGGGCTGCGGAATTTGTGGGTCCCTTAGAACGCACAGAAGGCGTTTGCAATTGTAATATATGAGTCACGGGTACCGATCCTTCAGCTGTATTGATTTGTACTCCTTTGTTGCTCTTCCTGTCTGACGTCGGCTGGTATCGATTTGTTCTTGGTTTCTCTTGCAGGTTTTCAGGTTTGCCACTCTCTCGGTGGTGGGACGGGTTCGGGAATGGGTACGCTTTTGATATCGAAGATTCGTGAGGAGTATCCAGACAGGATGATGTTGACGTTTTCAGTTTTCCCTTCGCCTAAGGTGTCTGATACGGTCGTGGAGCCCTACAACGCGACGTTGTCCGTTCATCAGCTTGTCGAAAATGCGGACGAGTGCATGGTGTTGGACAATGAGGCTCTTTATGATATTTGCTTCCGGACATTGAAATTGACGACACCGACCTGTAAGTATTGCTTCGAGGAGGGGTTTTTCTCTGGTCGTTCATTTGTGGGGTTGCAGTTTCACATCTTCCATGGAGAGGAGAGGTTCAATCCACATGCGAGAAATTTGACGTCGATGTTTATTATCGGCAATTTTGGAACATGGAGGTTGGGAGATACACGAAATGAGGTTTTGGTTTGATGGCCTGCTTACGTATGTGGTTGACAGCGTGTAGATTTGGAATTGCAATTCTACTCGAATTTTGGTAGTTGGGTAGTTCGTAATTTGATGGCAAGTGTATGTATGTATGCAGGTTTGCGTAATTTGTCCTCGATGTGGTCGGGTGTGTTTGGTGTGTGAAGCGAAGTTGGTGTTTGATGTGGAACCATGATGCGTTGGAGTGTGAACTGATGTGGCATTGTGATTTCTGTTCTGCGTTGCGTAATGCGGGAACTGAAAACGGTACTCTGATTGCGAATCGTGATGCGATGGCGCGTTAACTTAGGTGGCATTTTTGTGTCTGTGTGTTGTGGAACCTATGGCAGTCGGTGATTTGAATCATTTGATATCCGCGACTATGAGCGGTGTCACGTGCTGTCTTCGATTTCCTGGGCAATTGAACTCGGATCTACGGAAGCTCGCTGTCAATCTGATCCCCTTCCCTCGACTCCACTTTTTCATGGTCGGCTTTGCTCCTCTTACGTCGAGAGGCTCTCAACAATACCGCGCYTTGACCGTGCCCGAATTGACRCAGCAGATGTGGGATGCCAAGAATATGATGTGTGCTGCTGATCCGCGACATGGGCGATATTTGACCGCGTCGGCGATGTTCCGAGGACGGATGAGCACGAAGGAAGTMGATGAGCAGATGATYAACGTGCAGAACAAGAACTCGTCCTACTTCGTCGAGTGGATTCCTAACAATGTGAAGTCCAGTGTCTGTGACATTCCGCCGAAGGGCTTGAAGATGTCGTCGACRTTCGTCGGCAACTCGACGTCCATCCAGGAGATGTTCAAGAGAGTGAGTGAGCAGTTTACCGCYATGTTCCGGCGGAAGGCCTTCTTGCATTGGTACACCGGGGAGGGAATGGACGAGATGGAGTTCACCGAGGCGGAGAGCAACATGAATGATCTTGTCTCGGAGTATCAGCAATATCAGGATGCGAGTGCAGAAGAGGAAGGCGAGTTCGAGGAAGAGGAGGGAGAGGAGGCGTAAGCAATGACAACGTGGCTGGTTGGCATTATTTCTTATTGGTTTGAGGTAACTGGACGTGGGTGCAGGAGGGTTTGCTTGGTTTTTGCGCACGAGGTTTAAGTGATAACGCATTTGTTATCGACCGGACGAAGCAGTGTTGTAGCTGACCGTGACCGTAGAATTCGAGGGTAGCAGGGAGATTGTGTTTGCGTGTTTTAGCCGTTCCGGCTTGGTGTGGAAGGCGTCATTGTGTTATGTATATACACTCGGCCTACAGAAAGGCCGGATCTGCACAGTTCCGTTGTTAAGCTGATGAGACAGGTAAGCAATCTTAGATGGTCACAGCAATTCTCGTTTGGGCTGCCTCGGTATAATGAGGCTTGTTCAGTTTTGGACGGTGAGTGGTTTAACTTAGCCGTATTTACTAGCCGGCGTACTCGTTCTCTTCTCATTTCACAGCACATTGAAAGGCTTGATATTGCACGACTGCTCGATTTAAACGTGCATGGCATTCTCTTTTCTAGTCGGTGTTCGTAGTCCTCATTTCACAGCCCAACACTCATTTCACAGCACGTTAAAGATTATAATGGATGACGGCGTGAGTTAAACGTGCATTGCATTGGCGTGGAACTCTTATGTCATTATGTAGGTCTTTAGGTGAGTTTCTCATAATTGACGCATAGGACATCAGGGCCCCTATCCCCGTGAATGTGAATTAGTTCCTTCTCTTGGCTGTGCGCTACTCGTACGCCGGTAATGTTTGGTCATTTCGGGGGAAACTAGATTTATTTGTGTGTCGAGTGCTATTTCGTAATTCCCCAGTTTCTTGTTTTGGCCTTGACGTTGTGGTATTCAAATCTGTTGTTGGCTTGGCACCAGTTCTGAGGATGCCTTCTCATGATGATGATTGTACCCCTTGTTCATATCCTTCTCCTTGTCTGCTGTACTTTCTGTGTTTGTCTGCTGTAACTCGCCCTTTCCGCGTAAATCCGTTCTGTGTGGGCATTTGCATTCCCCTTCTCGTTTGTTTCGTTTTGTGATCCTTTTTACGTAAACTCCTGGAGTAACTAAAATTTGTGTGCATCTGTATTTCCTTCCTCGTTTGTTTTCGACGTTTTGGTCGTCGTGATTGTGATTCTCCGAATGATGCCGAATTTTGTTGTCTTCTTGCCTTGCGCTCGTGTTGTGAGGTTGGTTTCTGGAAAGTATCGATGTGACAAGGCTGATGGTTTGTTTGGCGGGGTCGATCGTAAGCGTGGTTTGAACTGTGGATTGGCTGTCCTGCGCAGTCTATTGCCTCTCTTGGTTTGTTTAATCTTTGTCGTTGGATAGAATTACTCGTCCGTGTCTGGACAAATGAGCTTGGCCGCTAAAATGTGCTACTCGGGCTCTCATAACTGCTAGACTGCGTGACTGTCCTGAAACTTCATTGGATTGTCGTTGTACTTGGAAAACGTTTGGCTTGTTGTGCTGTCCTAATGTGTCGGTAAGACACACGAGTTGTCTGGCTGTGCTCTGGTTCCTGTCTGGCTGTGCTCTGGTTCCTGTCTTTCTTGATCGTTTGTTCAATCCCGGTGTCTGTACTGCAGTCTTGCCGTCGGCTGGTTTCTTGAGCTGGTTGTTTTAACCTTGCTGGTAGTCTCCTTACCTGGACGTGGATTCCTGTCGAGCTTCGAGTGTCGTGGCTGATCTCGCTTGATTTAGTTCAGTGCTGGTTGGACGTGCCTCGTTAATGTCTTCAGGAGTGCTTTTTTGGCTGGTATTGTTGAAGCCTCAAAATTATGAACGAGGTGTAATTATGTTGTATTCTTGACTATGAATTGGCTTTGCTGTTGCCAGTTCGATGGTGTCTTGTCTGTGTTGATAACTCGCTCTTGGTTTACGTCTGGCGTTTGGCCATCTCACGTGGTCGTTTTTGCTGTCGTTTTTTTTTACGTCTGTTTGTGTCGGAGATCTGCTTGGTTTCCTTCGAGTGTAGGTATCTCTTTTCATGGTGCAACTCTTTTCTGTTGTTTTGTCCCCTAGACGTCTGGTTGGCTATATGCCAGTCTGACTGGTTGTCGTATGCCCCCTATGAACAGCTACCGAACCGCTTAAACCTACCCGACCTTGAAACCTACCCGACCTTTAAACCTACCCGTCTTCAGCCGAATGCAACGTACGGCTATGAACAGCTGCCGAACCTCGTTCTTAAATCTACCCGACCTTAAAACCTACCCGTCTTCAGCCGAATGCAACGTACCGGTAATTATAGGCTGTATTTGGGGCAACTCTGATAATCTAGATACACCAATAATGACCGACCGTACGTTGTATTCGGTTAAATGCGGGTAGTCTTGCGCTTCCTGAACGTTGCTCTACTTGTTTGATCCGACGACGTGGGCTGTGTATCGTTCTTGGATACAGATCGCGGGGTGTAGACTTTTCTGGCCTCTGAACGCTTTCATCACTGCCCACCTAATAGTCGCTGCTGACAGGGTCTAGCCTATTTTTCCTGTGGAAGACCATGAAAGTAAGGCGAGATGAATTGGCGAAGAGGGATCTTGACGTTGTGGTCGGATTTTTCTGCTGGTCTTCGGAATTGTATTAGACCAGGGTCATGGGTAGAAATATTTTATGGAATTTTTTTTGTACTGTGGTGGCTGCATGTTGACTCTGCTATCAGGCCCGCTCTTATTTGTGTTGCTTTCGAAAAACTTGTGACATCACTAGATGGCGAGTACGTTGTGAAAGCAAATTTTGTACTCTAGCGTGTGCTTATTGGCATTGGTGATTGTTGTCCAAAACCCGTGGATGGACTGGTGTGTGGAGTACCGCCGACACTAACGAGCAAATTGAAAGTTCAAATCGCCTCGGTAGATCGGCATTGACGAATGAAGGGGAACACCCTTGATGCCGAACGGTTTTTAGCTGTTCCGATTTCACGTGTTGATTCCAGAGCGAGAAACGGTAGTAGACAAGTGCAGCGCTGCATAACCTGTGAGAATTGTAATCGTGTTCCAGAGCGAGAATTGGTAGGAGGGTTACATAAAATCTGATGTTGCTTTCGGGAAAAAAATGATTAAATAGGGTTGGTGTACTTCTGAGTGAGTTCGTGCTGGTGCCTGCATGCGCGTTAGGACGTGCGACCTGAGAGGTCGAAGCATTCACCTAGTTTCGCAGAGGTTGGTGGTGTGAATTGCTAGAGGCATTTATGTTTGATGCGACTGTCCACATCGCTGTAGGACGTTTTGAATATCTGCAGCGATGTTGCCTGCAGCCACCCGGCCTGTGTTCTGCTTTGCCTGGGATGAGAAATTCTTAACCTCATTGGCTTTTTTAGAGGCTAGAAAATTGGCTATCCGAGGCCCATGAATGAATTCCGAGGGGTAGCTCTTCCGGGTCACAGCATCTATTGCTGTGCACGTTATTCTGACGTCATTATTGCGATAGTCCGAAATCTGTATGCTAGGGACCTTCATGCTAGGGACCTTTAAGCGATGTTCCTCTTCGCTTCTTTCGATATGAGATAGCTGGCAGTTGGGAAGTACTACTTTGGACTGCGACCCTAAACTTTCCCTGGAAGTGGGTAGACAGTGATGTGGGCCCTCCCTGCGATTTCGTGCGATGCAGTGCATTGTTCGTGTGAATGCCGTCTGAACCCATCCCAGTCGACCCCACGTGGCGCACCTGTTCTGCCGGATCTTGTCCTTTCGAACGTCTACGGAAGGCAGGAGGTACCTTTTCCTTCCTTTTTCTTGAACATCTCTGAGCCTTCGTTGGAGACCATCGGCGTGTGTCATCTGTAGAGGAAAACATAGGAAGCGGGATGAAAACCAAGGAACCGGGAGAACGGAATCTCGCTGCAGGACCCCACCCACTCGTACGGAACTCCCAGAAGGGCGTCTGGAGGTTTTTATATCGCTTTTGCAGTGTTACCATGTGTGCTGCAGCTGGCACACATCCTTTTGAAAACGAGTGAGGGCTGTGGAAGTGGTTCTGTGTTGTAGGTCACTGGGACAACATAGCTCGGTGTTGTTAATGGCTTGGCTGGGTGGTGGGTAGGGCGTAATGGGACGTCGGTGTGTTGCTTGTGGCTGGGGTAACGGTGCGGTTTCAAAACAGTTTTGGTGGAGCACACCAGCATTAGAGTGACGTTTGTTTACGGACCACGTTCTGGCAGTACGCTTCTGTGCGGTCTGGCAATTCTAAGAAAAACGCACGTTGATGATTTGAATTGTTTTGTGTTGTTTTCCCGAAATTTGGGCCATTTCTCGATTTATGCGTGTCATCCTTGAGTGGGCCGGGGCCATGGTAATCTTCATTCTCTGTATCGTTCCAATTTTAACGGATGTCGCGAAGAACGCACGTTGACGATTCCTATATGAGCAGTGATCTCAGGTCTTAGGAGAGAACTGTAAGGTGCGATTCTTCGGTGTTGGGTCACCTGTCATAAGAACATTCCAGTGGGTGGGCTTTCGTACCAATGGGTCTCTCGGAGTATTTAGTTCTGTGGGCTCCCTCTTGAAACTAACACAAGAGGAAACAAACAGATCTCCTGTTTAAACAAACACGCCAGAGTAAACAGGTTGCCTGTTCACTTCAGATGTTCCCTTTTGGTTTTCGTTTGGTATTGATGCTGCTAGACTAAGACGCCGCTAGCTCCCCTCCGGGAAGACCACCTATTGGTGGGGAGTGACACCACGCTGGAAACCTTGTCCAGCGTCCCACCTCCAAAAGCTTGGCCTGAACTGGGGTTCGATCTGCCAGCATTGATTGCCCTGGGGACCCAGGGGATGTCCTGAGCGGGTGATTCCCAGGCCCTGTGAACCCTTCGGTCTTTCGTGAAGAGAAGGAACCCTCGTCGTGAGTGTGCCACAGTGGAGTTTTAATTAGTTTGTACACATGCCTGATGAGGGCGTGTTTCTGATCGGTGGAAGACTGACGTTGCCAACCCCTTTGTGAACGCACTGACTTTTCTTTAAGCCTGTGCTCAACCGGTGACGGTTCTTAAAAGACAGTACGCACTCTAGACTTTTCTTTAGGCCTGTGCTCAACCGGTGGCGGTTCTTTAAAGACAGTACCCACCAGTGGTTACCGAAAAGAGACAGGGTCACGAAGTGTTAGTCATAGGTTCTGGCGTGATCCGTTGAGGTGGTCCTTGCGCACGCTTGCTCGTATGACGAAGGTTCCCTCTCCCACCAGATGGTCCGTTGTTTACATTTCTGTGGTGAGGTGCTTTTCCACGCTGTGTACATGTGAACGGGTTTTCCACGGTGTGTGTACATGTGAGCGGCTTCTGTGTACATGTGAGATGCTTTTCCACGCTGTGTGTACATGTGCCAAAACTCTTTTGTTAAAATTCACGAACTCGAATCTAGATGGTTTAGAAGTAGAATTTATCTGAAAGTCGTTTCATCAGAGAGCTCAACGAAGACGGGAGTTCTTTGCATACACTGTGAAACCCACCTGTATATACCGGTTGATGCTGCGGTTAATGCGGTAGCCGAATCGGTATGTCCTGACGTTCAATTCATTCGACCGGGGTCAAAAAATGCAGTAGGTTGGCAATATGGGTGGACCCGGCGGTATATGAAAGATGGGGTAGGACTTGGCTATATGGGCAGCTGCCTCTGGATGCTGCTGCGTACCCAGGTGAAGTGGAGAAGGGTAATGTGCTTTTGAGTGCATTTGATGGCCATGGTTCTCTCAGGGTAGTGCCTTGAGTGCATTTGATTGACATGGTTCTCTCAGGGTATATGTGCTTGGGGTGCATTTGATGGCAATGGTTCTCACATTTTTGGCTGCAGCCTTCTGAAGTCTGGAGGTTTGTGGAAGCCCATGCGAAGAGGTTCGTTGTATAACGGGGTTCACTGTATAACGGGGTTTGCAGTGGGGCTAAGTTATGTGATAAGAATATGTTTGCGTTATGGGTAGTAGTGGAAGATGACGTCAGTGTGTGTATGTGTCCTTGGCAAGGGGCGGCGGACAAAGCCTCTCCAATTGCGCTGAGATTGTCATGGGCACATAGTTGAAGCCTTGCCGGTTCTGAGGGCTGAGCTCAGGTTTCAGTTGCTTCTTTTCTGGTATCATTGGTTATGGTGTTGGGATTGGTCCATTATGAAGTTTCTTATAAAATTGCAGGCATCGTAGGTGATAGTGTGAATTTCCGCTCGTGGAGCTGTGAGGACTGGTGCATTTAACAAATGACATATTATACCATGTGTTAAGCCACCAGTACTTGGCCCAGCTATCGGCCGCGGGTGATTCCCGTTAACGCACCGGTAGTTGTGTGCTTCGGGCCGCCGAACCACAATGGGTGGAAGCGCCAGCCAAATCAAAACGAAACATCCCTGACGGCTTGGCGAAACTTGGTGCGCAGGGGTTATTCCAGCTCGGCATCAATAGCTGGGCTAAGTACTGGTTTTAACCTAATAAGCATTAAACCTACCATGTGATATGACATGGGTGGGCGGGGTACTGTTGTGTAACCAGGCCATTTTGGTGGGCGCACGGGCGCACTCGTCACACACAGACTCACCCACACACAACGATAGATAAATAGATAGAGATAGATAAATAGATAGATAGATAGATAGAGAGAGAGAGAATTGTAGCCGGTGGTGTTTTTTTTCCTGTTGCAAAGGTGTTAATTCTAGATGGGTTCGGTGGGCTTGGCCTGCCCGTTTTTCGAACTTTCTTATTGTGATGCAAGGATGTGAGTCTGACGGCAGGTTCTCGTTTGGTAGAGGTGGGCGGGTGTGTTTGTGGTTTCCGTCTGTTCTCTCAGGCGCGA